TGTGAACGGAATTCTTCACCTCTTCACGCACAACACCCCTGATAGAGGGAGGGAGGGAGGGAGGGAGGGAGGGAGGGAGCACTTTGTCACGCCGCGCTAACAAACCTACTTCCGTTCCGGGCCGAGTGTGAATGCAACTGTCCAGATCTTACGGCACAACACCGCGCGCCCGGGAACACACACAGAGACAGAGACAGAGACAGAGACAGAGAGACACAGAGAGAGAGAGAGAGAGAGAGAGAGAGAGAGAGAGAGAGAGAGTCGGCACCGCGACGGATGTTCGAACGCAATCCGACGGCGGGTTCGCCGGAGCGTTCAGACAGCCATCGCCAGGAGCCGCGGCCGTACCCCACTCGGGAGGGTTTAGTTCTAGTTTTGAGTATCCGCGGGTCCCTGCCATCCGATCTGAAATCTGACGGCCACAGTGTGACACATTGAAAAATACGTACTCAAAACCAGAACTAAAGCCTGGACCCCACAGACTGGCAGAACCGGTTTTCGACGACCGCCAGTGGTTTTTCGGGACTCGCGCTACGTAGCTCTGGCGCGGTCGCAGTCGGCCCTAACGCCGCCTGCCCTTTTCGGCAGGCCTAGCCGGTGGGGACGGTTCCACCGTGGAACAATCCCTGTAGGTGACATCCCAAAGCATTCGTGTTGTTGAAGGAAAAGAGGGGGAAAAAAAAGCATTCGTGTTGACGAGGCCTATGGTGGCCATAGCCAGTGATGCCAGCGGCTAGATTAGCCTTCTGACCGCCCCTTCTGCTCCTCCCTGAGGTCTTTGAATGCAAGTTAATCGTGTAAGTTTAGTTCAGTCAGCACTGCTCGGTGGGGCAAACAGGTAGCCGTAAGTTAAGAAGTTCGATATGGAGGTGGAGCACACTCCCCAGAGGGATGGCCATGCTTCGCTACCTCAAAGAACGCTAGCACTTCAATGTCTGCGCTGAAGATGTGCTTAGATGAGTACTCAGTCCTTTCGGAAGCATCGGTTGAAATCAGTTTTCTTCCTCCCAGATCAATATCCTCCAGCTGGGGCAGGAGAGAATCTTGGCAGAGAATTCGGAACGATTCTTGGGTGTCCAGGTCTCCCTCCTTTCCTGCACTGTTGACTAGGAGAACATCCTCTTACAGCCCACTTTACAAAAAAGTCTCTACCTGGGGTAAAGCCCCACACCTATGTATCCACGGTCGCATCATTG